TAAAGTTCAACAGAGTCTATACTATGAAAACATAAGATCACTTCAGTAACTGACTCGTGGCATCTCCTCTCTTCCAGATGTGCTTGTGAGATATGTGCTATTTTTAACCAACCTACCTACCTACCAATCAACCAACATAATGTAATGGTATAATGTTACTGTTAGAAAACACTCTCTGTCTTTTGATGCCGTACCCCTCCTTTCTCACTCTTTCTCTTTCCTTCTCTGAATCACCCCTCCTCTATCTGTTCTCTCTCTCTCTTGTATGGTGTTTGAATGTCTCTTACGCAATATTCAAGGTAAAGGAAGTCTATTCCTTATATGGATATGTTTTTCTGTATATGTGGCAATTTTATACAAAACACATGTTCTTGGGAAAAACATCCTGTATGGGTATGTCACCCTATCCTCATTGGTTAAGAGGGTAAAAACTCCCCTCGACATGCCTATATAAGATCTGTATTTCTGTGAATAAATTGAAGTATTGAGAATACATGGACTGTGTGTTTTCTTACTTCCCGGCCGTATTTATACACTTGGAGAGACCGAGAAGATTTCACGGTGGCAAAGAGATAAAATTTTTCATCGTTTCTCGAAACGTCATAGCATTTCCACACCGGCGATGACATGACTGCGGCGCCAAATCATTTATGTCCCCACGCATCATGTACGTCGTCACGCGTCATCAAATTGCGATCGGTTCCTGAGATCGGCCAAGTTAGTGAGTACCGATCGAGTCATAAAATATGATTATCGGCCGATACCGATCTCCGGCCGATCGATCGGAGCATCCCTAAATGATACATTATTTTTTTACTTATTATTTTAATTGTTTTTTATTATTTAATTAATTAATTTGATATTTATCTGAATTATTTTTCCTTTGACAAATTACTTTGTCCCCAGTCATTCAGGTAAGTATTATTGGATGAATATTAATAAAAAATAATGCTTACACACATTGCACTGAGAGAGAAATACCTACTTATTTTAATATTTTAAACTCACAGTTTCAGTCTGTATATTTAGTTTATATATTCGGTATATTCATTATGAAATTTCTACTGATCTGATTTTCCTCATTTTCAGGCCTGGAAATGACTATTTTAAAAGTAAAATAAATTAATTAAAAATAAAGTTCATGAGCACGTGACCCCTGTAATTAGAAAAAGATGAATCTAATCAATCATTAACGCCATTCCTTGACTTTTACATTTAATCTAATAACAGGAGAGCAAAAAATGAGTCATCTACAAATCTACTTTAGTCATTTGATCCGGCTTGCTTGAAAATCATCTTGAGAAATTATGTCAATTAGGCTACTATCTCAGTTATACAGGAAGTATTGAATGACCAAAAAATCTCATATATAAGTTGCCTGAGCATTATAATCAGATACAATATTAGGCATTTTTGGTAACAGGATTGCAAATACTGAATCTGAGGACAAAGTTGCATATAGCACTGATTTGACCATCTCCGTTTAGGGAAGTCACATGGCACTATTATTATTATTATTCTGTCAGTCCTTCACTAAATTTTCCCATGGACGACAGTAATCTGATAAGATCTTAATGGACTTGCCTCAGATTTTATTATGAAAACAATACACTGGCTTTTCTCCAGGTACCACAGTATATTAATACAGAAGCCTCATTGAGTTGACTAACCACCAAATACACTACTTTACGAACACACAACACATTTGAAATCATAATTTCCTTCCTAAACTATTTAAATGAATCTTACATATTTAGTAAGCCAAAAATACGACAACACACCGAGTATTTTGCTCCATTCAACACACCGAATGCCGGGCAAAGCCCCCCTTTAACCATTTCCCTGAAAAAACTGGCGTCACATCCGATTCCTGCACATGTTGATGTGCAAAATCAAAATATTAAACTTAAAATCGACGGTTGCAGTTATTTCACACGCAAAACAGCACTTTTTTTTAGATTGAACGCCACAGGCCGACAGCGCGAGAACAGCCAGAGCGCGAGGAGGACACAGAAAATCCTCGCGCGTCAAACTCGCACGCGACTGTTACCGGTAGGCCGCTAAGCACCGATGCCAGTACAACATCATAACACATCTAATGTTACTATAAAACCATTGCTACTGCTCAATAAGCTCTCCGTCTTGCTTAAATGTACGGCATGTTTGACAAATATGAAGGCATATTATTTGAGTGTGACGGTAAAAATAGCAGGTAAGTCGACGGTTAGCCGCGTTAAAAAACACAAAGCGCTGCAGGAAAAACCGTCAGTTTGGGTGATAAAATGCAAAAGTATACGGCGGATTTCTCATTAAAATGATTATTTTAGTTTACCATGTTTCTTTAAAAAAATAACTATCTAGTATCAACCCCGCTTGTCGTTTCGTTTGTCGATTAGCCACTGCTTCGTCGAATAAATTAAGTTTTACACCAATAAACTCCAACTGAGAACATTAAATGCGTCACGAATAATCCGGTTAAACATTAAACGTGTTTACATTTCACCCATATATGCAATAAAGAACATCAACAGCGACAAATCGAGTGGAGTTGATCAGTAAACGTAACGTTAAATATTTTACCTTGCATCATAGGCCGATGTTCAAAATCGTCCTCACTGCCGGACATATTGCTGATTACACCAGCTAGAGAGGATTGTGGACACTTGTATGCCGATTTTGGCCTCCTCTGGTGCCTTCCTGAAGCCGGGGGAGGCAGAAAATAAAGAAGCAATACAAACGGAAGTTAATAGTCACGGTAGCATGCTGATCAGTGGTCACTCCATGCCAAGAAACAAATCCGAAAAGCGTGCAAATATATCTAACAGTGGTGGACAAATAGCATTTGGTTTAATGCAACTGAAAAAAAAGCATGCTTAAACTTTGAAATACGCGGTTGAAACCAGTTATTTGGGGCAAATGGGGCATTTTAGTGAGGCATTAGCTTAGCAGGCTAGGGATGCTAACCTGCAACGTCTCCATAACTTTTAAGATTCCTTTAATTTGACATGCATTAAAAGATGTTTAATAAAAACACAAGCAGAATTGATGTAATACAATGTCAAAAATTGTACTCACACAACTTGACCTGTTCCCTTTTTCAAACAAACAGCTAGTTCAATCTAAGATGTCCCCACGCTGTATTGGATCCTTTTCATCAACACTTAAAAAAAACAATTTGTAATAACCCTGTTTCTAATGAATAAGTAGTGAAAGTGTATCCTGATTCTTTTATTTATTTATGTATTTTTCCCTTAGCTGTAGGATGCACACAACGTCGCAGTTTCTCCTTCTGCCACTTACACCCTTTGCATAGACACAAAGAGATCAGGGGCCAGACATCCCATAATAATCTCCCTCCCATATTCTCACATGCACATACATACAGACATTCACCCCTCCCCCCACCGCATAGTTACCTTGCAACATACAGACCATAATAACCCCCCCCAACCAAAGACAGACCCTCTCTTCCCCATTCCGCCCGTGCACTTAGCAACAGTTGCCATGGAAACAGCCACCCCATCCCATAATAATAAACATAGTCACTGACATCCCACAATAACCATAACTCCGAAAAAAGAATGAACGGGAAGTGAGCCGGAAGAGAGAGAGAGAGGGGAAAAAAGTCGATTAGCAACTCCTCGCCAGCCTGCTTCCTTATTATGGTTCTGTATTTACAGTAGACATTTGTGAGCGTATAAAACGCCATAAATAATCCAAACTTAAAGTTAGTGCTCTTCAGGCCAATTGCATTTTAGCACACAACTATTCACACATGCAACCAACTTTAGTTTGTGGTCCAAAAAGCAGATAATACACTCTTAAAACTAAAGGTTATTTATTGGCATTGATGGTTCCATGAAGAATCTTTAGCATCCATGGAACTGTTACATTCCACAAAAAGTTTTTATAGTGGAACATGGTTCTTTAGATTTTAAAAATGTTCTTCCTACTAAGAAATAAATGGTTATTTTAAGAACTCTTCACTGAAGCATTCTTTAGGGAACCAAAACTTGTTCTTCTGTGGCATCGCTGTAAAAACCCCATTTTGGAACCTTAATTTTTAAAAGTGTAGATCTACTTTTGGACTTGAAGTTTCAAGGTCTCATTCAAAGACGGTCTACCTCTCAAGTTCAAATCTCACATTGATAATGCTGCTATATAAGAGCTTAAAATGGAATTGGCACCATCTGTTTAAGGCCTTCAGAAGTTATAGTGTCTTGATGGGACGTTGAGACATTTTGTAGTTTGTCCTCCTCATATCATCAGCATAGCCAACCTTCTGCCATCTTCACCCCCGTTATCATCCACCCGGATGCAGAGAAGTAAAATGACAAACACTGACGGCTCTTGACGCACGTATCAAGTCCATCAAAATGCAGCAGATATGTATGCACACATGTACATATATGGAAACAAATGTAATTTCATGGGGGGGATGGTGAGTGGTAGGCACCATATAGCATAATTACATATCAAAGAAATATAGAGATGGTCGTCATGACAACACACTCAGGCGCACCTCTCCTCCACACTCCAAAGCACCAAATATCCAGTAATAATGTCTTAAGCCAAAAGAAAACACAGACCATAATATTCTTCCTGTGCTGGCAGTTGTCATGGCAATATGCAAGAAAGAGGTGTTTCTCTGTGTGTGTGTGTGTGTGTGTGTGTGTGTGTGTGTGTGTGTGTGTGTGTGTCTTTTGGGGTGGTGGGGGGTGTTAGGGAGGGGTTTCAGATTACCATGCATGCAAAAATGAATACCATAATACTCCTTTTACACTCTCTCTCTGCTAGTTCCCTCCTCCCCCAACCCGCACCGAACTGAACGTGACTCCATAACTGGGCGAAAGAGCCACACATGGACACCATCAGAGATGGCTACTGATAAACTCTTAAGGGACATTGGATTTGACCAAAAAACGAAAGCAAACAGGTAGTGATTTCAGTGACCGTGCTTGATGTTTCTCAACTTTGCCTGTGCAACTATATAGGCTTCGGCTATATGAAGGCTTAGTACATTAAATATCTTTGCAAATAGTAATATTTATATTTGTGCTACATGAGCATATGTTTTATGGTTTCTTCATGATTTATTATTAAAAACATTTTGCAATCCTCTTGCTTCATGAGGTAGAAATGCAAATATCATTATCTCACAGGTGAATCTTCTACCACAAAGCCAGATAAAGCACCTAAATATAGAGACAAAAATGAACAGCCATGAACAGAAACATTCACTCTTCCCCCTTCAAACCCAGCCCCCACCCCTCCCCCTCCCAAATGGCCCAGACCTCCCTAATGGCCCAGACATCCCATAATATGCCCAACGACTAGCACCCCCCCCCTTAATCTCATCCTGAACCCAATACTATATCATGCAAAACTGCATAAACTGATTTCTGCCCCCTTGTATTAGCTACTGCAGGTTTGTAGGTTCATATTTGCAACACTGACTCGCTATCCTTCAGTCGGCTGGTTAATTTTTTTTGTACACCGTACAGACATTTACGCACAATGTTCATTGTAAACATGAGGAAAAGGGAAGTAATTGGTCAAGGCTCCCAGAATGAACATTACGAGTATGACACATTCAATATACATTACCATGTAATGGCTGTTCCATTTCCATATCCTCATATTCCCCACCCCCATTATATTCCAAAGCATTACAATTGATTAATTTTATCACATGGACCTATTGTACTTCTGTAAGTAAACAAAGGTTGTTCATTATAGTGCATTAGCTTTATTAGAGCCCCCACTGCAACACACTATAAAATACAACACACATTACTGTATGTCGTTTAGGTGTGTAAATAAAGAAAAAAAATCATTGTAATTAAAAAAAATAATAATAATAATGATGCATGAGATGCATGGGGCACTGCAAGAGAGAATGAATAATTTTCCCCAACCTGCAACCGTTACCAATGGAAACATTTGAAATCAGGTCAAATGCACGCTCTTTATTAATTCATAATGCTTTTAGGCACTCTGGGTTTGTCTTATTTATTTATAGATCACATGGAAATACATATATTTTACCCAGTAAGTGTCGTGCTATTGCATTTGTACTTGGGATGAGAAATTGACTTGCACGTTGTAAAAATGATATGCTTAATGAGTCAGCATATGTTTTTCTATTAGATTAATTCTTCAAATTAATTTAACCAATTTCAACTTCATCTTTAAAGTTGTACAAGATTTAACTTGATTTTTTTTTTAAAGTCAGTTTAATATTAGTCAGCAGCTGAACTCAAGTTTTTAAGTTGAAGTAGGTGGACATTTTTAGACCTTCTGTTCTCAGAGCTTTCAGATGTCTGGAGTAGTAAAGTTCAACAGAGTCTATACTATGAAAACATAAGATCACTTCAATAACTGACTCGTGGCATCTCCTCTCTTCCAGATGTGCTTGTGAGATATGTGCTTTTTTAACCAACCTACCTACCTACCAATCAACCAACATAATGTAATGGTATAATGTTACGATTGCAATTTCTAGCACAGCAGTCCTGATGAATGGTTAGGAACCATGCAGGCTGTTTATTCAGATCCATAATCCAACTAAAACTGCCTGGAGAGCAAAACATCATAAACCCTATAGATGTACAGTAAACGCCAAAATTAATAACACAATAAATGTTAGGAGAAGTCTGGGAAACACTAATGTAAAACATTTAAACAATTAGTAAAGAGACTGTCTGCAAAATTAAGAGTGTATTTACTAGTTGAGTGGTTTAACTAGAGCAGTGGTTCTCAACCCGCGGCCCGTCACGAATTCAAATGCGGCCCACCATGCTGAACACAATAAAAAAAATAAAAATAACTTTCAGTTTTACAATTCATTTTAGTTTTTACATTAATTTAAAAATGTACTAAACAAATAAAAGCTATAATGTTTTTGTTATGTAAAATAAAAATTTTCATATATTATTTTCAGACATGAGCAGACCTATAGCCTACTCACATAATTAACGTTATGCATTTAACGAACACTTACAAGCGCGCGCTTTGGCAGAATTCAATTCAAACAGTCATCAGCAGCCATTAGTTCGGTAAAATTGAGCAAAATTTGTTATTAAGGGAGAAAAACGAAATGTAGAAAATGCCAGCGAAGGAACACATACAAACAAGAATAGTCGCAGTATCAGCAGTGAAGGTAGGAGAGTGCTGTACTTTCGGCATCAACTTTCGTTTTACCCTTTTTTACATTAATTTAAAAATGTACTAAACAAATAAAAGCTATAATGTTTTTGTTATGTAAAATAAAAATGTTCATATATTATTTTCAGACATGAGCAGACCTGTAGCCTACTCACATAATTAACGTTATGCATTTAACGAACACTTACAAGCGCGCGCTTTGGCAGAATTCAATTCAAACAGTCATCAGCAGCCATTAGTTTGGTAAAATTGAGCAAAATTTGTTATTAAGGGAGAAAAACGAAATGTGGAAGCGAAGCGAAGGAACACATACAAACAAGAATAGTCGCAGTATCAGCAGTGAAGGTAGGAGAGTGCTGTACTTTCGGCATCAACTTTCGTTTTACCCTGCCACTCACTTGAAGATGTTCAGGCAAAAGGAAACACCCATACTACGCAGCAATAATCTTTAAAGGGGTCATATGATGCGATTTCAATTTTTCCTTTCTCTTTGGAGTGTTACAAGCTCTTGGTGCATAAAGAAGATCTGTAAAGTTGCAAAGACTAAAGTCTCAAATCCAAAGAGATATTCTTTATAAAAGTTAAGAGTCAGCCACGCCTACCTAAAACGACTCATTCTAACACGCCCCCACATATCTATGTCACGATGTGGGAAGATTTGCATAACGTCGCCCAAATGTTCACGCAAAGAAAGAAGGCGTAACTTTTATTCTCGCTGTAGTATTGTTGCCGCTGCCGCCGCCATGTCGTGAAGGTGATATGTGTTTCGTTGTGAAAGCGAAACTACTTTGTTTGGTCTTCCAAAAGAGGACGATATCTGCTTCGTCATGCCTAGAGCTGATCTGTGCTGGTCGCTGAGGGAATACATCAACTTCGCACTGTGGATCGCCGGATTGGCTTTCACCGTGGACGAAGCGGAGTCCAGCCCGGGGTCGTCACATGTGGTTGCCGCAAGCCCGCCCGCCGCCGCTCACTCTAGCCCGCCGTGTGTGACGCTGTGTTTCGTTGTGAACTTTCACTTTATTGGGTATACAGTATTTATAAGGTAATAACCATGTTTTCCTCCATTGAATGTTATCTATTTTAGAACCCCCAAAAAACGTTCTCTTTTGGAGAAATTGAGTTTCGAGATTGAGAAAGTTGACGAATAAATGTATTATTACATTCTTTACTTAAAAGCGAAACACCTCCCAAACATAACTGTGAAAGTTGTTTTGAGCATGACTCATGGGTGAGGGAAGCTTTCATCAGACATATTAATCCATCAGGAATCGCCTTTATAACAGAGTTAAATTCTTTAAACGGAATGGGGAATTGATGGATATTCGGGTTCCGCCAGAAGTGGGCACTCATGCAACGTAATCAATGACGTACATCCGAGTAAACGAGATGGAGGGAAGTTTGCGAGTGAAGGGTATAAAAAACGGACTGGAACGCAGCCCAGGCTGCAGTTATACCCTTCTCCAAGATTTAGGGTAAAAGTAATCCTGGTGACAGAAAATCAGAAATGTGTTGATGGGGAACTCTAGTGGTGACTGTGTAAATCTGGCATAGGGGATGTTGCTCCTCCTAGTGACCAGGAGTGATATACACACCCTGCATAGCCAGAGACATGTCCAAATTCTTGATTATTGTATTTTTAATACACACCTCGAATATTTGGATTGTTTTTATTGGCTGGTTTAATTTCAGTAGGACTTGAAATACACTTCAGTTTGAGCAAGTTACAAGGTAATAGTGATTTAGAATAGTAAATAAATTAAAACTATCTTATATATTGTTTTATATATGTTTGCAATACTGTTACCATTTTATGACAGGACTACTGTCATAAATTAATACTTTTATTCAGCAAGGAAGCATTAAATTGATCTAAAGTGCCAGTAAAGACATTTATAATATTACAAAAGATTTCTATTAAAAAAAATCTTTTGAATTGTTTTTGTACTTTGTTTATCAAAGTATCCTGAAAGACAATGTATCACAGTTTCTACAAACATTAAGCAGCACAACTGTTTTCAAGGTTGACAATAATAAGAAATGTTTATTGAGCACTGAATCAGCATATTAAAATGATCTCTGAAGGATGAAGTTGAGAGTATTAAATAAAAATAATAACGTTCATTGAAATTCACATTTATCATGTAACTGTACTGATTGCAGTAACTGTATTATTGATTTAAATGTGATTCCACAGAATGTTATATTGATAGAATCTAGCAGTTATATATGCAGAGTAATGTTGAGACGTCAACAGTGACGACAGATTTCTTATTCTGAGATGCTGCTGTACAAACAGACAACTCTGTGAAAGAAATGCTAAATAATCTTTGATAGTCCCGTGACTCTACAGTGACCTGCTAAAGTGAATTTAACACATGCTGGAAAGCCATGACTCAACAGAATATGTAAAGATTTGTTTATTCAGCCAGGCTCTGATGTCAACACAATGAAAAGACCTTTCTTTTAAGAGTGGCTTTTTAAAAGGGACAAGAGACACTGCGGGTCTTATTTATCATTGAATCCTGTTGGCAGGTTATATAGCCTACTGTGTCTATTTTGATTCAACATGCTAAAGATCACATTTCAGGTCAGGGATTTCTTACTTTGTTCAAGCCTTTAACTTGTGTGCCAAAACCAACACAATTGGTATCAATATTTTATCCACTTGGCAGACATTTTTTTATTATCATTGACCAATGTAGGCAGATAGGAGGAATAATGTATATATATATATATATATATATATATATAATAATTCACCCAAAAATGAAAATTTGCTGAAAATGTACTTACCCTCAGACCATCCCACATGTAGACAAGTTTGTTTGTTTCATCCAAACAGATGTGGAGCATTCCATAACTTGCTCACCAATGAATCCTCTGCAGTGAATGGGTGCCGTCAGAATGAGAGTCCAAACAGCTGATAAAAACATCACGATAATCCACAAGTAATCCACACCACTCCAGTCCATCAACGAATGTCTTGTGAAGTGAAAACTTAACTTGGTGTTGAAATTTATAATGTATTTAAATCTTAAAATGAATTTGACTGACAGATCTAAACCCCTATCTAAACCACTAATTGCACTTATAGTGATTCAATAAACATAATCATTATTTCACTTTATGTAACATTATACTATTTCTGTGTCTGTAAGTTTTTAATGCCAATTTTATTGTCCTGAAAGTGCTTCCACTTTTTCACTTGTGAATAGCAACTAACAAGTCAGGTTAGGACAAATAAACAGTTGTGGCCAAATCACAAAGATACTAGCCCAAGCAAACAAATTCACACAGACAAGTTTAATTTAAAAAACACGACAATGTGGCTCTTAGTTTCGAATTTCTTATTAGTGAAACCATCTTGGCTACGGGCTTTGTCGATCGAGGAAGAAACATTACTGATATTCTCTAATAACATTAAATACATTTTAAAAACATGAAAAACATTAATCATTCATAACACTAAAGCACCACAAATGTAATTGTGACTGGCCAAGTATGTAGTGTCAAGATCAGTGTGACCCAATTCCCTGAAAAATAATCTTATTAAAATAAACAGTGTATAATCACAGATTATCTTTCACTCTTCTTTATGTGTCAGTTTCTTAAACAGTCTAACTTTTCACACTCACACATATACAAAAACAATATATATCAATAATCTGTTTTCTGCAATAATATCTGCCATTCAGCACACAGCAGACACATAATGAGAGATTCTGTTCAATATAGAAAGAATTTGTTCAATTAAAAAAATGTAGTCAACAACAGCTGCAATGCATTTGACTTCTAATGAAACCTATTACTATATTCAACAAGGGAAAAATGTAGGACAGAGCTTAATTTTATCCATTGGAAATGTACTGGATTGTAAAAAAAAAAGAAAAAAAAAGTGGGTGTTTTGATACCAGAATGAAGCCTTGAAGTTAGTTATTAGTTTTTTTTGGCTACCGGGTAACAAATATGCAACATCCAGAGAGAGGTTTTAGAGGCAGTGAAACATTTAATTTCAATAAAGGATTTAAAAAAAACAACAACAACACCTTTTTATTTTAAAGCATAAAATAAAATAAGGAACATATATTAAGAAAATCAATAATAGCCTATCATATAGAATATATTATAATAAATAGAAATAAAATAATTTTGATGAAATGTTGACATTATAAGATTATTGTTTTGCAAAAATATATAATATTTGACAGCATAACCTTTGTCGTTGTTTGACATTTTTAAGCCTTCAAACACTATTTATTTCCAGGTTCAAATGAAATAGAAATATCCTTTTAATGTGGACCATGCGTGTGACCTAAAGTCGGTGCTTTATTACTTTAGAATCATTTTAATATTCATCATAAGCTTTGCATTCCCTACCAACACTGGAGGATTTTAGTCAGGCTTCTTTCTACCCAATTCCTCCATCTATTTTTACCAGCAGTCACAGAGGAACATTGCAGCACCCTGTGTTTGTAGTCTCCCCTCCTCTTCTCGGGTCCCTCGTTCCTGCTTATTAATCAGTCGCCTTGACCTACTCATCCTCCTCTTTCTCTCCTCCTCTCCTCTCTAATTCTCAGCATCTTCCTCTGACTCATCTTTTCATCCCCTCCCCCTTCTGTTTCTCCTCTCATCTCGCTCTCATTCTGATTTCCACCCACCTTCTCTCTGTTTTGCCTCTCTCTTCCGCAGGTCGACACTTCCAGGCTTGCCTAACGCAAGGCTACGCGCACTGACGGCAGGTAATCATCGCACGAAAGCCTTTATTCTTCCTTTTGCACCTTTGCATCATTAATGCATCTGTTGCGGGGTCATTACGATGGTTTGGCTTATAGGTTAACATATGTTATTCTCTTTGGGCTTGATTTTGTGAATGTTGCATTGCTTTAGCAGCAATTATTAATTATTATATCAAGACATCGCTGCTTTTAGTGCACGCCTTTGCGGGCAGACCCATGCATGCGGATCGAGTCACTCCTTATGTTGGGATGCAGGAAATGTGAATTTAGGGGGCAGTCTTTGTGGTGCCCCGCTGGTAAAGGGTCGGCCAGATGGATCCCGCACTATGTGTCTGCATTACTGTTTCAGTGTGTGTTCAATCTGTTCGCTTTGAATATCGGTCATTTTATTGAACTGGATCTCATCTTTATAAGTCACTCCGTTCATTTGAGCGGAGTTTAATTAAAATGTTATATTTTCAAGCATTTTTAAAAAATGATTAAAAAGTCATTAATGCAGTACATTGTGAGGAAACAAACGATTTGTTCACCTTGACACAGAGGAACATTGCAGCACCCTGTGTTTGTAGTCTCCCCTCCTCTTCTCGGGTCCCTCGTTCCTGCTTATTAATCAGTCGCCTTGACCTACTCATCCTCCTCTTTCTCTCCTCCTCTCCTCTCTAATTCTCAGCATCTTCCTCTGACTCATCTTTTCATCCCCTCCCCCTTCTGTTTCTCCTCTCATCTCGCTCTCATTCTGATTTCCACCCACCTTCTCTCTGTTTTGCCTCTCTCTTCCGCAGGTCGACACTTCCAGGCTTGCCTAACGCAAGGCTACGCGCACTGACGGCAGGTAATCATCGCACGAAAGCCTTTATTCTTCCTTTTGCACCTTTGCATCATTAATGCATCTGTTGCGGGGTCATTACGATGGTTTGGCTTATAGGTTAACATATGTTATTCTCTTTGGGCTTGATTTTGTGAATGTTGCATTGCTTTAGCAGCAATTATTAATTATTATATCAAGACATCGCTGCTTTTAGTGCACGCCTTTGCGGGCAGACCCATGCATGCGGATCGAGTCACTCCTTATGTTGGGATGCAGGAAATGTGAATTTAGGGGGCAGTCTTTGTGGTGCCCCGCTGGTAAAGGGTCGGCCAGATGGATCCCGCACTATGTGTCTGCATTACTGTTTCAGTGTGTGTTCAATCTGTTCGCTTTGAATATCGGTCATTTTATTGAACTGGATCTCATCTTTATAAGTCACTCCGTTCATTTGAGCGGAGTTTAATTAAAATGTTATATTTTCAAGCATTTTTAAAAAATGATTAAAAAGTCATTAATGCAGTACATTGTGAGGAAACAAACGATTTGTTCACCTTGAGTCGCATTTGTCACGTGACACACGCAAAACGAACGAATCGCTCTTGAACGAGCCATCTATCGCCAGTTCTCATTGCCGTCCGCGCCACCACTCGCCTCGATGCTCCAGAAAGCTCTTCTTTTCGCCAAGGGGATGTTAAATTATTTATCTTTTTCTTGCCCCATCACGCCACTTTCTGCGCTATCCACCCCACCCCTCCGCAGATCGCCCCCCTCCCCTCTGTATATCTGCTGACAGCGCGGTTGCTGCAGTACCACATTGGCAAGGCGCAACTGAGCAGATGCACGATCGTGAGCTGCTCGGACCCGTGCATACATGCCAGTGTTGTCATTACAAATAAAGCCCCTCCTTCTCCTTCTTCTCCTCTTCCTCCCCCTCCTCCTCCCCCGGTTTAAACGCTGGTGGTCGGTGCATTCTATTAGCAAGGTGACACGTGCGCCCGTGTCTTGTGGAATATTTTGAATGCAATTTGCATGTTCTGGGTTTTCATTGGCTGCCAGCGTGGCATCTCGCTGTCGATGCTTGAACTGTATCATGGGAACTGAATGTTCCAGAAAAACGGATCCATTTTCAAAGCCATCAGATTGATTGGCACTCCTGATGTGTTTGCGTAGACATTGAGGGTTAAGTCTAAATGGATGCTATGAGGCTACTTTATGGACGCTCCTGGCCTTATTCTGAATGATTCATCAGTGCACGTTATTCTAAATGTTAATCTTAAATCAAAATTGAATAAGTGCTCAATAAATGATTCTCCTATTACACTATAACTGATATAGGTAGGCCTGTTGTTCTAGCAAGCTCACATTCTTGTACAGAACAGGCACTAGTCATGATCCAATCCATTTCCGCCCTACTTTTGTTTCACTTCAAAATTGAACACATTAGAGTAGTAAAATGGGTTTCAAATGGCTATGTGATTCTGAGTGTTTGATATTGCATTGGATGGGTAAACAAAAACGGGCATTCCTTCAGAAAAACATCAAGATTTGGACCTCTCGGAGGTCCAACACACATTTTTATCAACTCTTTGTGGCACCAAGTGTAACTAACTGTGTGGACTAAGTGACACGAAACACAGCATTCATGACAAACTGCAGTTTTTGTAGACAGAAAGCCCAACATAGCTGCATTTTGACAACAGAAATGCTCTTCATTTTATGCACCAAACTCTAAACGCAAAACTTTTGTGCACAAAAATTCACAAAAGCTCCATTTTGTGTACTAGTAGATAAGAGAGAACACCTTTGGTGATTGGTTGTCTGGATCACGGAATACATTTTGTCCATTAAAAACCCTAGTTCATCATATAAATTATACGTTTTGCATTTAAGCAGCATTTCGAATGTAAAAAGAGATTGCAGGTAGAACAAAACACATGCTGGAGGACTCGCTCACTTTTAGATGTTTATCTTACTCATGCAAGGTCAATCAAAGGATGCCATGGACACACCGTTTCTAAACATCATGTCCAGTTAGAGTCAGCAGAGGTTTAGCTCATTCCCTGTGGCTTGTTTTCTCTCTGTGTTTAAGAATGTCCATTGTGAGCATCGTTGCCAGGGAAATCCTGGACTCTCGGGGAAACCCTACAGTGGAGGTGGACCTGAGAACTGATAAAGGTGAATCAATAGTCTCTCTACAACAAGGGCTGAGCAGAATGCCATCCTGGATTTTAAAAGCAAAGGAATATGTGTTATGTACAATGTAAATGAAATGACATTTTTCATATTTCTTCAAAAACACATTTATTGAAAGCATATCTAAAAATGCACGAATGCAAAATACAATCAGTAATAAATCTAAATGAAATAAAAAATGTTGTTACATCCAAAAAAATGCAAGTTACTTTTAAGAGACAAATATATGAAATGTATGAAAATTAAATTGTCAACACAGATCTATCAGTAAGATATGGATGCAATTATGTATTAATCGCTAATGTAAATGCATGACAGATTTGAAGTGTCAGTGTGTTTTCAGGTCTATTCAGGGCTGCAGTCCCCAGCGGAGCATCGACTGGCATCTATGAGGCTCTGGAACTCAGAGATGGAGACAAGAGCCGTTACAAGGGCAAAGGTGAGCGATCACAGATGGTCCATTGTAATACTGCCACTATTAACCATCATTATATAAAACATTAGATCAATTAAAACGAAATAGATCATCTTTTTGAAGCCTTCTGCAATAGTTGTGTTTATTTTATCTTCACTTTTACCTTTATTCTCTGCTTTTCTTGTGGTTTAAGGTGTACTGAAGGCTGTTGGTCACATTAATGACACTCTTGGACCAGCCCTTATCGCATCTGTAAGTGAAAAGAGAAAGGTTTTAATAACAAATAACCAAACATATTTCTAGAAAAGATCTGAATTAAGCCGAGATGTTTAAGCATTAAATGCAGTACATGAGATTCAAAGAAAATAATCAAATATTTTGCAGCTTATGTTCAGAATATATGTGGTGTCAAATGGGGCCACAGCTGACTACAACGAAGTTTGTTATTTAATGCATTTTCACTATGATTTACATTATTTTACAGCCTCCTGTTTTTTTTTTTCATTCCATGCAGTTTGTTTCTTCAGATGTTTGTCGCCACTTTCCCAATAGTTTTACATCTTTACAGTTAAATTCTAAGCAATTGTTAATTTGATTATTTATTTGTTTGTTTTACAGATCAGATTCCAAACGAAATAGATCATCTTTTTGAAGCCTTCTGCAATAGTTGTGTTTATTTTATCTTCACTTTTACCTTTATTCTCTGCTTTTCTTGTGGTTTAAGGTGTACTGAAGGCCGTTGGTCACATTAATGACACTCTTGGACCAGCCCTTATCGCATCTGTAAGTGAAAAGAGAAAGGTTTTAATAACAAATAACCAAACATATTTCTAGAACAGATCTGAATTAAGCCGAGATGTTTAAGCATTAAATGCAGTACATGAGATTCAAAGAAAATAATCAAATATTTTGCAGCTTATGTTCAGAATATATGTGGTGTCAAATGGGGCCACAGCTGACTACAACGAAGTTTGTTATTTAATGCATTTTCACTATGATTTACATTATTTTACAGCCTCCTGTTTTTTTTTTTCATTCCATGCAGTTTGTTTCTTCAGATGTTTGTCGCCACTTTCCCAATAGTTTTACATCTTTACAGTTAAATTCTAAGCAATTGTTAATTTGATTATTTATTTGTTTGTTTTACAGATCAGATTCCGATCAGATGGGATCAGAATCAGATCCCACCCCTGCACTTTTCTTAATCTTTTTTTTTTATTTTTTATAATCGTTTACCAATAACAGGAGATTTTAAAACAGGTCCCACTGCTACCAATCTACCAAAGGCAGAGACACAAAATCTCCTTTTATCCAGGTCTTGATTTTCATTCTGATCTACACATTCCATTCTTTCGTTTTCATGTCTTTTTTAAGATACATATACTCCCATGTCTGCAGTGCAAAAGCTAAAAACTCAAATATTGCCAGTTTTTTATTTGATGATGATTTGACAAGGTTAATTTCACAGCAGCAGGGCTAATGATTAGACAACATTTTCATCCAGCATCAATCAAGCACTGTATTTTATTAACCTGGAGAGTTTTGTCTTCATGATGCGCATGAACTTTAGGAGATCAGTGTGGTGGAGCAGGAGAAACTGGACAACATGATGATCGAAATGGACGGCACAGAGAACAAATGTGAGTTATAATCTTACATGATAAAATCATATTTTTAAAAACATAAATAGAATTTCTGTCGTCATGTTGTTCCAAACTTGTATGATGTTCTTTATTATGTGGAACACAAAAGCAGATGTTGAGCAGCATGTTCAGCTCTGCTCTTTTCTAAACGATAGAAGTATACAACGACCTAGAAGGACCAAAAAAGCAGCATAAAAGATGTTGTCCATGCAGCTCATTTGCTATATTTCAAGTCTTCTGAAGCCATACAAACTATAAGAACAGACCAAATTATAACTTGTTTATTGAAAAAATCATACACTCCAGTGTAGCTTATATTAAAACATGCTGCGTACAAACTAGATTTGATGTCAGCGATGCCAGTGCTTGTAAGCAATTGCGACGTGCCAAGTTTGAATAGTGTGATTAAATGATGAAAGAATATTGTGTTTTGGGGAGACTTAATAATATCATAAATTATACATTAAAATAGAATTCAGTATGATAATAGATTTGTAATTTGTGATTTTTCTGTTGTTTTTCTATTAAAAGTAGTTTTACTTCCTGTGATGCAAAGCTGAATTTTCAGCATCATTACTCCAGTCTTCAGTGTCACATGATCCTTCAGAAATCATTCTAATATGCTGATGTTTATTTTTGTGTAAACGATGATACATTTTTTCAGGATTTTTTGATGAATAGAAAGTTCAAAAGAACAACATTTATTGGAAACAGAAATGTTTTGGAACATTATAGACTTTCTTTATTGTCACTTTTTATTCATTTAATGCATCCTTTTAAAAAAAAAAGTTTTACTGATCCCAAACTTTTGAATGGTAGTGTAGTTTAAAATAAAAATGTTATTCATCACTTGTTCCAATACTGTTTACATATTGTATACGAGTTATTTTCTCTTGACTTATACATTGAAACTAGCATATGTGACCCTGGAGCACAAAAGCAGTCTTAAGTCGCTGGGGTATATTTGTAGCAATAGCCAAAAATACATTGTACGAGTCAAAATTATTGATTTTTCTTTTATGCCAAAAATCATTAGGATATTAAGTAAAGATCATGTTCCATGAAGATATTTTGTAAATTTCCTACTGTAAATATATCAAAACTTAATTTTTGATTAGTAATATGTATTGCTAAAGACTTCGTCTGGATAACTTTAAAGGCGATTTTCTCAATATTTAGATTTTTTTTCAGATTTGTTTCACCGCCGGAGCAGATGTAGACAAGAATGACTTCTAAGCGACTGAGGTGTTCTGTTGTTGGATGTAATAATGAACATAGCAGCCGTCATTTACTCCCGAAATCTGAGCCGCTGAAGACGCAGTGGATGTGGTTTGTTTCTGAAGGGAATGCTCCCCCGATCTACCTAAATGCGTCTATGTTCGCGCGAATCATTCATGATCCAGCTTCATCTACAGAAGAAGTGAGTATAATGTTTTGTAATGAATCTTTGCAAATCGCCTTTCCTAAAAATGTGCTAATTAGCAAGGTTCATGATGAATACGGCTAAAGTAAACAGTCTCTCTTGAGAGCAGCTCGGAAGAGAGGGGCGGGGGCAGCAGAGCTCATTAACATTTAAAGGAAAATGCTACAAAAACAGCTTGATCTGAAAAGAGCTGTTTTTGACAGGGTAAAAAAAAGTTGTTTTTACACTACCATTCAGAAATTTTAACCAAACTATGTTACAGACTTTTCATTAAGACCCTAAAGAATCATATCAACTTGTGGAAAATGGGCATCATATGACCCCTAAATGAGATAATTACAAAAAATAACAACTACAAAACCGGCTTGATCTGAAAAGAGCTGTTTTTGACAGGGTAAAAAAAAGTTGTTTTTACACTACCATTCAGAAATTATAACCAAACTATGTTACAGACTTTTCATTAAGACCCTAAAGAATCATATCAACTTGTGGAAAATGGGCATCATATGACCCCTAAATGAGATAATTACAAAAAATAACAATAATTGCTACATATGTGTTCATCATGTCTCCAGCTCAGTTTGGTGCTAATGCCATCCTGGGAGTGTCTTTGGCCATCTGCAAGGCCGGTGCGGCAGAAAAAGGCGTCCCTCTGTATCGTCATATTGCTGATCTGGCAGGAAACACAGAACTAGTGCTGCCAGTTCCTGTAAGAAAATGAATTACTCAATTGCATGACTTCAGTTCGCAACATCATAATTCACATCTGTAGGTATTTTCTCTTAGACTGACTAAGCACATCTTCTCTATCCATTCGTCAGGCCTTTAATGTAATCAACGGAGGCTCCCATGCTGGAAACAAGCTTGCCATGCAGGAGTTCATGGTGCTTCCTGTGGGGGCGGAGTCATTCCGTGACGCCCTGCGTGTCGGAGCCGAACTCTACCAGACTCTGAAGGGTGTCATCAAGGAGAAGTATGGCCAAGATGCCACCAATGTCGGTGACGAGGGAGGATTCGCTCCAAACATCCTGGAGAACAGTGAAGGTGTGTTTCTAGCGTGCTAGAAAAGCTTTATCGCCTTTATCACTGAGTGTGTGATCCAATTTCATCATAATGAATTTATCCATTACTACGTTCTGTTGGCTTCTCCATCACGCCTCCACAGCACTTGAGTTGATAAAGACGGCCATTGACAAGGCCGGGTTCACAGATAAAGTCGTGATCGGGATGGATGTAGCCGCCTCGGAGTTCTACCGTGACGGGAAGTACGACCTTGACTTCAAGTCCCCTCCAAACCCAGACAGACACATCACCAGCGATGAGCTGGTAGAGATCTACCAGACGTTTGTCAACGATTATCCAGGTAAACTGGGAATAAAATAAGATATAAAGGAAATGTTAAAGTTTAAATGTTAATACAGTCACTTTGAAGTTTATTTAAAGGAAAGTATCTTGGAAATTCAGTTTAAAACCTGTAATAATAGATTTTTTCCTTTTCCTTTGCCTGTTTTTAAGTAAAGCACAGTAGAAGTCTAGGGGAAATTGTCACTATTGAAATGAATTGTATTATTATTATTATTCAAATACAATTTATTATCACAGTCTTTACGAACACTTAAAAATTAATTAAATGAAGTCATCATGAGAATAGGGATATAACTATTTATCAACCTTTGTCATTGCAAAGTTACATCCAACCTTTCAGGATCGTGTCAAACTAGTAAATATGATAACTCTCACTTGATGTGCACTACTGTTCAAAATTTTTTTTTAAATGTTTTTCAAAGAAGTGTCATGTTCACCAAAGCTGCATCTAACTGATCAAAAATACAGTAATTGTGAAATTTTATTACAATTTCAAATAACTGCTTTCTATTTGAATATGTTCAAATGTAATTTCTTGCTGCGATGCAAAGCTGAATTTTCAGCATCATTACTCCAGGCTTCAGTGTCACATGATCCTTCAGAAATCATTCTAATATTCTGATTTTGTGCTCAATAAATATGTCTTACTATTATCAATATTGAAAACAGTTGTGCTGCTTATAGGGATATTTTGATTAATATAAAGGAACAGCATTTATTTGAAAAATAAATCTTTTGTAACCTTACGCATGTCTTTACTGTCACTTTTGATGCATCCTTGCGAAATAAAAGAAATGATTAATCTATTGTTCCCATCTTAATCGCCAGTGGTGTCCATTGAGGACCCATTTGATCAGGACGACTGGGCCGCTTGGTCTAACATGACAGGTTCCATGGGGATCCAGATTGTAGGCGACGACCTGACTGTGACAAACCCAAAGAGGATAGAGAAGGCTGCGGAAGACCGTGCATGCAACTGTCTGCTCCTGAAGGTCAACCAGATCGGCACCGTCACGGAGGCCATCCAGGCGTGAGTAACTGTAAACATATCAATCTGTAAATCATGCCCCATAAACCATAGTTTAGTACCAGTTTTCCAGCTCCTAATCTTCTCATATTGAACTGTGTGTCCCTCAGATGTAAGCTCGCTCAAGCCAACGGATGGGGTGTGATGGTCAGCCATCGCTCAGGAGAGACAGAAGACACTTTCATTGCTGATCTAGTGGTGGGACTCTGCACTGGACAGGTACACACAATGTTACCATTATATATATATATACAGAGTTCTGGCATGAAACTCTAGATGGCTCAGTTCGATAGGTCTAACTCGATCTGACCTAATTGACATCATTATCACATGGCACAGGTGATTGGTTCTCTCCTGTATCAGTAGCCAATGAGCTCGCTGCTCAACATTCAAATATATGACTAGTGCTTGCCGTAGCAGTGCAGCTTGCTTCAGAAACCCTCCACCTTCCCCAGCTCCACCTGTATAGATCTGCTACGAGGTGATTCATGTATGCTATATGGGGGTTATTTCATGTATGTTATATTTGCAGTAGCAATATTTCTTACATGCTCACAGCAGCATGTTGTGGATGTATTGGCAGTAGCAAGTCTCGGTACTTGCTCTGCAGCAGCAGCAGCAGCAGCATAGCAAATCTATTCCACCAAGACCAAATACATTATCATGTACATTACCATGCCAATCCCTCCGAGAGTTGTCATGACAGAAATATATATATATATATATTTGTATATGTAGCACGTTTTACAAAACTATCATCACATGATTAAGTTTGATTAAATTAAACTTTAACTCTCTCTCACTTATTTTTCAGATAAAGACAGGTGCTCCGTGTAGATCTGAGCGTCTCGCCAAATACAACCAACTTATGAGGTAAGAGAGCACTCAATCGTACTATTTTTGAGCAATACTGTAAAAACATCCGTTTGAATCCCCAAAACAAAGTCCAAATCATTGTCACATGCTTTTTGCCTCTTTGCCTTAAATAGGCTGTTACTAATATTTTAAGTGTTTAAGTGTTTCATCAGATTTGTAAAGCCCAATCTAATATATTTTCCATTTTCATTTTTGCTAAAGTTTTAGCAATGTTGTTGTGTGTTTTGTCCTTTTTAGGTTTTGGTATTTCTTAATAGGTCTATTTTGTTTATATATATATATATTTCAGTTTTAGTATTTTTGTTTGTTTTTCCAGTTTTTTAAATATTTCAATTTAATTTAACAATAATTATGTAAAGTAACAAAAATGTTTTTGTTTTTTTGTAATGGATTTAGTTTTAGTTTAGTTTAGTTTTAGTTCAATACAAAAATTATTATAATTTTTTTTTTTTATGAATCTTAATTGATTAATTAATCCATAATTGTTCATCATACTTCTGTTAAGTATCTAACACTAAGTATTGAACTTCTTGCACAACTTGTTTGCTTTTTCATTCTCTAAAAAAACTGGATGATAAAAAAAGTTGAGGTTAATCCCATAGACTTCCACTGAATGAAGGACATTTTCTTTAGTAAAATGTAAAAATGTTTGATTGTGCATCAGCACATACAAATGAATATGACTCAACTGACTGAAAAAGTCCCAGTCTCAAAAATAGCGTTGGCCACATAAGAAACCAATAATTACTTTGATTAACATTGTTGATTACAGTCCTCTAGCTGTTTCTCTGTCACCTCCTGTTCCTGTAGAATTAATCCATGTCCATCTCTGCCAATCTGTCTCTTTTTTTTCTTCTGCCTCACAGGATTGAAGAAGAATTGGGCGATCAGGCTCGATTCGCCGGGCACAATTTCAGAAACCCTAGCGCTCTGTGATACTGACACCACCACACCGAAATCACTCAAAAAAACAACTGACAAACTGAGTATGTACTGCACTGAACCGACTGACCCTTAAAAATCATTCAAAATGCATTAAAACAGCACTATTTGCACTGATATACAAAATATGACTTACTCAGACACTCAAAATATATATTTCAACTGAACTGGACAGGCTTTGATAGACCAAAAATTATGCACAGCGGATCCTGGAGCGACCAACATTATGCACAAGTAATACTGAATTACTTGACGGGCAAAGCATGTGCACAGGGTGGACATGCATGCGTATGATAAAGAAAATGGACCTTGAATTTAACAAGGCAAAAACTTGATTTAACTCAGATGGAATAAAAGTAGAGATTTATTGTAATCAGGTGTAATCTTTCAAATTAAGCTTCAGTTTAGATGTGAAATGTAAAACACCGTCTAGGTTGACTTGCCACACTAAAGAAATCAAATGTCATTTTTATGGTTCATTGCATGAGAAGTAGGCAAAAATATATAGATATTTTCCTGAATATTTATGCAGCAGTGGGATTTTCATTGGCAAGTTCACGCTGATATGAGTGACATTGACAGTGAAGAATTCATGGTCCAGCATTTTCTCTAAAAGTTGTTTGCCCAGGGCATTATATGCTTTTTATCAAACAATACTCTTTTTCTCAGATGCTGTTTTTGTGTCCATCTCTGACCCAAAAGCATGCTGAGGAAAAAGCCTTTTAAAACAAACTGGTATTCAATCGAATCAACAAAACAAATGAAAAATAAAAATAAAGTAAAAAATGGAAATAGGGTTTAAAAATAAAAATAAAAGTTTTACTCATTTTAGTAAATTAAACATTCAATATAATGTGTGTCGTATATATTTATTTCCATAAAGATGCTTCATTGTTTAAAACACCAGGTTTAGCCAGAAGTTTCTGTGTGTCTTTGTCATTTATTTGGGAGGTCTAAAATATGTCCTCGTGTGATTATGATATGATATTGTTGTCTGATGGCTCCCTACATACATCAACACAGCCAAAAAATATAATATATAAAAATAAAGAGAATGAAATCTAAAGGATTGAACATAAAGTTCACATATCACTTCTATTCATAAGAGTAATTACATTCAAGAGCCCCCAAATTTTCTCATGCAATATACTTTTGCGTTTTCTGTTACCCTGGATCTCCATCCTGAAGGGGAAGTGGATGTTTTTTTGCATTAAATAAAACACTTAATCTGTAAGTGAGCCATTTGTAGGTAGAATCTGTTGATCTTGGCACGTTTCTGGTTCAACCAATGGTGTGTGTTTGGGGCGGCGCTACCTTTGTCCAAATATATAAGAGATGGCAGTAGGAAAGACACACTTCACCAGTAGTGAAAGAAAGAGAGACATAACAATTACAACGACAGATCTAATTCAAGAACTGGACCGACAGACACGCTTACATGAATCGAGACAAACACACTCACTCACTCACTCACATTTGTGTAGCAAAGTCTCACCCTCAACGGACATGACTCCTTATTCTCTGCCTCCATGGACTTGTAGTCTGTTTCTTCCTTTCTTGTCATTTCATCCGTCTCCTCTCTCCCTTTCCCTTCTTGTGGTTATGACTTGACTTGTTCCCCTGTCCCTGAAATCTTTTTCCTCCCTGATGACTTATCTTTTCATCATTTTGTGAGATTATTGTGGTGAAAGAAGGAAACGAAAGCAAGATGGAGAGAAAAAAAAACTGATAAGCCTGTCAAAGAATGATGTTATAGAATATTAAAGCTGTCATTACTTTCGTCAACCTTGAGTCTCTAAGAGTGTTTTCTTCTCGTCGGTAAAAGCAGAGGAGGACATTTAAATGGCTTTTCACCATTTAGACGCTCAATTATAAAACATAATAGTGTTTTAATGAGTTTTTAAAATTGCATTTCTTGTCATCTACATTAGAAAACTCAGTCACTGAATTCAGCTCAATTAAAAAAAATTTGTTTTAAAGAAATTAATACTTTTATTAATCAAGGATGCATTAAATGGATCAAGTGTCAGTTAAGACATGCATATTGTTCAAAATAATTTATTTCAAATAAATACTGTTCTGTTGAACTTTCTAGTCATCAGAGAATCCTGAATAAATGTATCAGTTTCCACAAAAATATTAAGCAGCAAAATGCTTTTCAACATTGATAATAATGTTAATGTCCAAGAAATGTTTCTTGAGCAGCAAATCGGCATATTAGGATGATTTCTGAAGGATCATGTGACAGTGAAGACTGATGCTGAAAATTCAGCTTTGCATCACAGGAATAAATTACACTTTAAAATATATTCAAATAGAAAATAGGTATTTTAAATTGTAATAATATTTCACAATATTACTGTTTTTACTGCATTTTTATCAAATAAATGCAACCTTGATTAATCTTAATGATGATGAAACATGAAAATCATGCAAAAAATATTTTTAAAATATTTTACACCATGTAGCCTTTAGTTTCAGTATGCACCGCATTTATGTCAGTGATTAAATCGGGGGAAAAAAATTTAGACCAAGAGAAAACACTATGAGAAGACAGGACAAATACATTTTTTTATTTTCTACAGAGGTAGTCATTTCAACAGAGGATAAAGTGCTCATTAAGTCACTACAAACTCAGTTAAGCATTCAACGCTGGTCTTGTAAGTTAATCAATGTGGAGAACCCTAACCCTAACTCTACACATTTCAAGTAGTGTGTTCTGGAAGTGCATAGACAACACAGCAGTTTAAATCACAGCAGCAAATAACAAGCTAACATGCCCAAGCTCTCTTCTATTACTTTAAGTAGGAAGCAAGTTGATATTAATATTCCAGTCCAATAACCCAACCCGACTGTTTAACAAGCAGGTGAGCATAAGCAGTACAACCACAAATACACTTTCAGACCTGCTGGAATGACAACAAGAAGCTGGTTTACACTGATTGGGCAGTGCAGCAGTTTTGGACCATCGAAATGGCTGAGCATCTCTATGCGCGGGCATTTATGATGTCAACAAACTCTGGCTTAAGGGAAGCACCTCCAACTAGGAAGCCATCAATGTCAGGCTGGGCCGCAAGCTCTTTGCAGTTTCCCCCAGTAACAGAGCCTGTGAAATGAGGAGAGAAGAACATAATTGTTGAGATAAAACCAAGAACACAACCTAACAGTAACAAAGCATCATTTTTTTGTTATTAAGTAAAAAGGGATCAGCATTTAGTCAATAAAGATAAGTTTCCATTAAATTACATGTTATAATGCAATATTATGGATAGAAAACTTGTATTTTAGTCGGACACTTGATGGATTTGTTTATTACAAATACACAGTTTTTTGGACTGGAGTGGTGTGGATTATTGGGATGTTTTTATCAGCTGTTTGGACTCTCATTCTGACGGCACCCATTCACTGCAGAGCATCCATTGGTGAACAAGTGATGTAATGCTTCATTTCTCCAAGAAACAATCTCATCTACATCTTGGATGGCCTGAGAGTGAGTACATTTTCAGTAATTTTTTGTGTGAATTATTCCTTTAACAAGAAGACTTTTATGTAAATATGGTGTAAAATAAGAGTTTAAACAGCAATTCCAGTCGCATAAACAGTAGAGCATGGCGCTAGCAATGAGAAAGTCATGGGTTTGATTCCCAGGGAATGCATGCAATGAAAAAATGTATACTTCGAGTGCAGTCTAAGTTGATTTGGATAAAAGCATCGGCCAAATGCATCACAGTAAAAATGAAGGCAATTTTGTGCAATATTATTTGCTCTCATTAATTGCATCATACATTGGCAGCACAGCCATTCTGCTAAACATTTGTTTGTGTAGAAGGTTACAGGGATGTGCAATGACATGAGCTGAATAAATGACAGAGCATTCACTATGCTATATCTTTAAGGTCACTCAGAATTGAAGACCGGATGTTCTGAACACTGCAGACTCACCTCCGTAGATGATGCGCACAGAGTCGGCTACTGCATCCGACACATTCGCTCTCAGCCATCCTCTCAGCTTCTCATGCACCTCCTGAGCCTGCAGCACACAAATGACAGACTCTGAAAACTTATACAAAGATATATATATATATATATTAGGGATGCACAATATTATCGGACTGATATCGGAATTGGCCGATAATGGCTTTAAATGTAAATATCGGCATCGGCCCGATATGAAAAAGTATGCCGCTATGTCTTGCCGATAAGAGGAATACTTAACTCGCATGTGCTCAGGGTGTGCTAGCGATTAGATCCCGTCAACAGTGTGGCTCATTCTTGAAGCAAAGTTTTGTCTGAATGATGATTAGATTCACTCTTTTGGATCGCTGCATTCAATCTGAGAATGCACGTACAGAATGAAGCATTCGGTGCATGATAGAGTAAACAGTAATAGCACTTGCAGCGGCAGCCTCCCCTGGGTCCTAACGCCTGTTCGGTAAGGAGTTTTAATCTGTAGGGGGCGCTGTTGGCCTACTTCTAATTAAAGGGGGGTTACAATGCTGTTTCATGCATTCAGTTTCAGAAAAACAATTTCTGTGCCAAAAATCTTACTTCCGGGTTCTGTTTCATGCATTCAGTTTCAGAAAAACAATTTCTGTGCCAAAAATCTTATTTCCGGGTTCGTACACGTTTCAGAGTTTTTTTCGATCGTGGCTCTTAATGACGTAAAAGAGGGTGGAACTCCTTATATGGGCATTTCTCCCGGAAGAACGCGCCTGTATCGACCAGAGCAAGAGCGAGATCACGCCCATCAACGCGCTTCATCCGGCGGCAGCGCTGCACGGGACTTGCTCGGGAAGAATGTCTCCAATCCAAAGAAGTGTGTTTTTGGTTGTAAGGCTAAAGATGACTTTGTTCAGCTTCCTAAAGAACCCAGCGTTATATAAACAGTTTGTTTTTCCGGGACAGCAACGGAGTTTCACAAGTGTGTTTGTTGACGAAGGTTTTATAAACAAGGCCCAGTTCGACACTGGATTTGCACATGGTTTGATACTGAAAGATGGAGCAGTCCCAGCTATAAAAGATCCCGGTCATGATTCAGAACTACAGACGGTAAGTGAAACGGCATCAAATATCTGTTTTGTTGGCATTCGGCGCCCAAGTGCTCGTCACTCTTTAGCTCCACCCAACGGCGCGCCTCCAGGAGCTCGCTTTTTCCAGAGAGAATCGTAAAGCTGTATCTTTCTATTATAAATATGATAAAACTAAAGACTTTTTGGAGATATGAAGAATGCAGTACTACTCTATAGGTACTCAAGATTAACATAAAATTGGGTGAAACTGTGTGTGTTATGCCCACTTTAAACTAAAAGTAAAATAGTCTACACAAATAACATTTAGACTGTTTCTGATTAAATAAAGCAGTAATTGATGTCATAAAATCATGAGTATGTTTTGATTTAAAGGTCAGAAGCTATAGCTTACATGAAAAAAAATCAAAAACATGACACTGGTAAATTAAATAATTTTATATATACTTATTTATTCATTAATGTGTAATGTTTTATTTTTTAAACAAATCATAAGCTCTAAAAGATTTTCGGAATTTTTAGACTTTTTGGAGATATGAAGAATGCAGTACTACTCTATAGGTACTCAAGAATAACATAAAATTGGGTGAAACTGTGTGTGTTATGCCCACTTTAAACTAAAAGTAAAATAGTCTACACAAATAACATTTAGACTGTGTTTCTGATTAAATAA